GTATGGTGATTGCAAAGGTCGGTGTTGGAGGGAAAACGCTCAGAAGCATTCGAGTGCATTTGCGACGGCACCTGAAACAATAATGTGGACTGGGAGTGGAGCGTTCGATGGCGTGTGACAAGGCGTGCGAAGCCGCAGATACGACGAAGATGACGCGGAGTGACAAGGTGTACGGGGTGCATAGTAATATGGAGATACAGTGACACTAAATATGGAAGGATGTTGTGGGTGTGTCATATCAGAGTGAACGGACGGGCCAACCGAATGAGCCAGATAACCAATGGGAGACAAGCGTAACGGATTTGATTGCTGGACATTGATTGGCAGATATTCATGTGAGTTAATCATGGTTTGTTTAACTGAGTCAAATGAAGAACCCCATCGTCTCAGAAGGGTCGTTAGTTATGGACGTGAACGTGTAACTTGTCTCGAGGAGTTTGGTTTTCCAAGCGTGCTGTACTTTTCGTCTAGTTAACTGTATCGAATAGACGTTTGTCCCTGAAGGATTGAGTTCTGCAACTTCTCTATGATTGGAGCACTTCGTAGTCTCACACTTCAATACAATGTTGATGCCGTGAAATCTCTTGTTTCCATTCGACCACTAAAAGACTATCGAAGTCTGACAGATTTCTAGCAACTGTTGAGCGCGGTCGCAGTCAGTGAGGAAAAGTGGCGCTTACTCTCCTGTGTTGCCTCTATACGCTGTGCAACCAGTTGCGTTGCTCGCGAAGCTCACTGGCTTAATGATTAATGCGTTAGCTATCCAAGATTCCGCACTCACTTTAGCTTCTCTTTATCTGAGATATCCAGATATGACCGAAACCACTTGTGGACTGCAGTGTTAGAGATGTGCAACACCGAAATTCTTTATCGCAGACCTCTGTTTGTTGGTTTCGATTATAAATGAGAGATATCAGTGTGCCCCACCAATCATTTTGGAGTTGAATACCTACAGGCCAGTGCCGGTTTTCTGAAGCTGTTGGCTATATGAAAGATATGGGACGTCCTATTAATGCATACAATTTGCTATTTTCCGATACAGTGTTGGCCACTACCCTAGTGAAGTCTGTCGGCGTTTAGGATACAAGTAGAGTTGTGGCGATCTCCACAGGGTACGCATATCAGAATGTGCGCCTGCTACTGAAAGTTTGGGGGGTGAACGGTTGGTACAGTGGATCGTATCATTGATAGGGAATTGGGTTGACCATAACCAACCGCTCTTTTTGGTCATCTCTAACCAGGGGGAATGGCGACCAGAAGGAATTGATAGTTGACGTGTGACCACCCTTGACTACTGCACGATGAAGCCCGGCCTTAAGGATCACAAATCTGTCTTATAATTCTGTGGTCGCGGATTCAAGTCTCCGTTGGGACCGAGGGATTCTTGCAGTATCTCTAGACCACGCGCGACTTGTGGCTGCGCGGCAGCGAAGCATCGGTGCTGCGTACCGACGTACTACTAATGCCCGCAGTTACTCCAAACCCAACTTTGGATTTCACGAAAATCAAATTCACTCTTAACCTCAATCGGTCGAACCCTATCGACTGTCATCTTTTCGCTAAGTCAGTTGTCCACTCGGCTCCGGCAAACTGCAGTAGGCGAGCAGTGCTCTGTCTTTTGGAGTTTTTGGCACGTGTGACAGTCGAGTATGTGCTACGCGATTGAATCAGCATGTTTCCATGTGCGCTTTTTTCCCGTCTCCGATAACAACACCAGCTTTTTCGTCCAGTCGCAGGTGGATCGGATGTTCCCTCTCTTTCAGCTCCCTGATATATCCGCACATTCAGAGTTATGTTCGAAATATTTGCCAATTTCGCTGGAAACTATTCTGCATCATCCATTGATCTCAGTGTGAGTCCCCTGAGCTGCTCACGCAAACTGCTCTGTGGGCTGATCTTGCCAGCTTTCTTCGGTGGTAGCAAATATTTTATACCCAGAGAAAGAATTTGCAACTGTTCTCTTGTGAACCCAATCGATGATAAATTGTACACCTGTTTCGGGCTTTCGATCGGGTAGGAAGCATCTCTTGTTCTTACAAAGGAATCTTTCAGGTTGGTCAGTGTCTTGGTCTTTTCTCCGCGCACAATTTGCTTTGATAATGCCTCAAATTTAACCGCTTAAACTTGCCGCAATCCTTCCAAGGTTCTCGCTTATTGAGGGGTCTGTATTCTCGGTCAACACAGGCATCACTGTATACCCAAACAATCCCTGTGCATGGGTAACTTAGTTATCAACTTCGTTTCTGCGCTTGGGGATGATAAACGACCGAACTGGACGCATTCTTCACTTGAAAAAATTAGACTCAAAAACGGGAAGTTTAAGTTCTGAATAAAGCTAATTTGGTCCACGAAGTGGTCCCACCTCCTGAATGCACGATACGTTTCTGGACCTTTTTCGTAGCTTCACGATGCCTTGTCCACGCATCTATCTTGCTCAGCCAAAAGGAAGTTGAGTGAGCTTGAGACCAGGAAATCACATTTACTTACTTCAAGTATCTCCTAACTAGCGCTCCATCTCTCTGAAATTACAACCTTTTGCAGCCTGTGTACATTAGGTTCGGCAGTATGGGGTGTCTCATGCTGAGGTTGATATCGCATTCATGATGGTTCTTCACTGCCGTTGGGTTAAACCAACATACACTTAAACTAGATCTTTTTAATCTGGATAAAAGTCATTCCACTTTATTTGGTTTGCTCAATTTTCATGCTTCTACATATTCTGTGTCAGTTTTGCGTGTTGACTTTCCCTCAGATTCCATGTTGGTTGTTTGATATCCCCGCTGTGGCTGCACTTGATGTAAATGTTGACAAAGTACCTACCTGTCTAACACCCTTCACTTCAGTTACTTGCTCCATGAGACTGTGAATCGCTGCCAGCGTCTGCTACGTATGATTCCCTACATAGATAGACAGGATTGCTGGTGCTGTGCCTGTTGAAGAAGTGTGGGCCGGCTCCTTTGATGAAACGTGGCTCCCATCCACATGCCTCCTGGTCTTACTTCTGCGGGTTTACACTGGATATGGGGTGTGTGTGTGGATGGAGCTGTGGGTGGTCCGGCGTCAGTCACCCATGGTCCCTTTGTAGACGCAGGGATCCTGTGGCTGTCCTATGGAGGCCACAGTGACAGGTAATTCAGGAACCGGATGCCACCAACCATGGATGCGGAACGAGCACTGTTCCCACCCATAGTGGACGCAATTGGATCTTCGTAGTCTTGCGCTCACAGTGGTGCACATTGCACGCACCATGTTCGTGCGTCGTTTTGTTCCCATATTCACCGATTCACGAGCGATACACTTTGCCGGATGTGGCTCGGACCCTGACTGACACCGACATCCATTCCTACACCCTGTTGTTTTAACTTCTGTTTTACACTGCGTATGAGGTATGTGGGCTATCGTCTTTTCGAATGTGCAGCCTGTGTCGCAGTCACATTTTGTACGGGATTGTATCAGTCGTTTCTCGGATTGCAGGCGGTTTGGTAACCACAACGGTGTTTTAGTTTATTTCTCTATCAATAATCTTTCCTTTTTCGTTGTCTGGTTGCACCGGTGTATGCCATGGAACAAAATCGGAAGTCTCGTTTTTGATTGCTCTTTGCAGTTCCCAATTCGGTTACGCCACAAACCGTTGTTTGCATTCATGAGTCTACGTAGCTTTATTAGATGATGATTTCCTGATTTGTATGATGACGCAGCTGCTGAGTTGTGCCTGAGCACATATCGGACACTTTAAACTAATCCATTTCCATTGTCAAAGCGCAGTGGATAGTTTATGTTAATCTGTAAGAATACGCCACTTATCTTTGCAGCCGTGGCTGTCACTTTACTTACTTCATTCGTAAATCATAATGTTTCCAATATTTCATCACAAAATCCATTCACGATGTGTGTTTGTGTTCTGTGCAATTATTTATACAGTCTGCACCTTACGGCTGTTGGACCACCTTCCAGTATTGATGTCTTCCTATGGCATGTCGTCTACACCATCGATGTTCGATGATTACAGACCACTTGGCATCGCTCAGGCCAAATAAGGAATAACGGGTCTGCGTCTGTTCAGATTATTTTAGTTGCTGTGCAAATGAGGACCATCGTTAGGAATCTTCAGTTTCCATGGCTCCCATAAAGCAATCTCTACCGTTTTTGAGGCTATACAAACACGATGACGATGTGAACCTTTTATCTATAGAGCAGTGTGACTTTATCTTTCTGTCTGAGATTCGGAGGTATCTTAGATCTTTAATTGTCGTTTCTCAGGGAGTATTGTTCTTTTCAAGTGACACAAGTGTATCCGCGCCATTAGGGCACACACATGAGTATTAGGTGGCTGTTTTAAGGTTTGTTCGTTGGTTATATTTCTCCTGGTACACGCAGCGAGGGAATTCATTCACCTTAAGCTATAAAGTTACGGACTCAGTGAAGTCGTCGATCACTGTGTTAGGTTCTATTGACCCACCTCGTCTCAGAAACTAGAACTCATTTAACCCGTCACTTCTAGTTCTGTTTATGATATGGCAATTACCGGGCACCAGTGGTTATTTGCCTTGTTCTTGCAACGTGCTGATTTTTTTGGAATTGTACGCTACCGGGTTATCTTCAAATGTACCCTGAATGTGACATTGGCACTAGGAGGTCGTAGCGAATCTGTTGTGCAATCCCTTTTTTTACCCTGAAGACGGCTGTTTGTGGCCACGTGACGTTTGCACGTTTCCTTTGCCTTGATCTCGAATGTTTTCGTACTGCTTTTAAATCCGGTATTAGGTCACCGTTTACTGCCGCTTGCTGTTCTCTTATCTCTGTATCATCAGTTACACGACAATGAACTCGGCGCAGAAATTACCGATGATACTTGTTCATTTATGCCTTTGAAGTCCATATACAGCGAACCAAGCACTTACCCTGTAACTTTGTAGCCTTGACGTTTTCTATTCTCTTACGATTGAAATCCCCCTGTTCGTTATCATTGCCCCCATACTTTTTTCGTCTCTCCAACATAGTCTCTACTGACTCATCCATCGACGAAGTTTCCTACTCCTCAAATTCGGAGTCGCTTGTGCTGAAAGTGGCAGGCAAACGTAAAGGTCGTCGTTTCGGAAGCACTGTGGATTTTGAATTGGCACGAAAAATGTTTGTTGGCGTCACCGACCATTCAATGCCACTCACAGAAGCCGCGGCTATCTCTGCTGCGAACAGGTTGAAAATCAAGTTGGAAGAGTTAAATGCCACGAAGGCGTGTGAAATCGCCACCCATCTGCAAGCTGCTATGGAGAATGTGCTTGCCAATGCACGTTATCGATTCTACGATGACTGTGGTCCGAAATTGGGCAAGGTGACTGCTGACACTCCAATCATGTTAGGGTAAGGAAATCACGCTGTTTCATTATCTTATAGTGGTGTTTGTGTCGCATGTGAGCAGTTAGTTTACGCGGTGTGTGCTGTTAACTGACTTCTTTTCGTGATCCCATATGGATACTCCTTATTGACAGTATTGCTCTACCATTGATTAACTTCTGCCACATCGTGTGTATCGGTGGTCTTCTTTTTCCATGATTACTAGTCGCCTCTTGATCGAATATCGTGAATAAGATCGCTGTGCTTTGGAAACCTGTACCAATAGGGCTCCTGATGCTTTTCTCGGACAGTGCTTTTATAATCTGCGATGTAAAACATTAGCTGTCACACTGTACCGTCATGGGATAGAGGAATACTGGGTCATCGAAACTCTCGTACAAGCGTCTCAAACAACCTTCGGCCATATGGCTCAAAATTCCTTCATTGACGACCGCAAAGTTGTTGTCATTGTTGATGCTGAATTCAAGCTGTGTGTGTGTGTGTGTGGAGTATTTGTGTTGTCACTACTTTGAATATCATGTACCCTAATTCATCACGTCTTGCGATCTCTTGCTTGCGATGTGAATTCGTTGCTTCGTCCAAATTGAACGACCCATCGTCTCTGAGTGCGTGTCTCCTCGCTGTCGTTTCGGTATGCATTCCCATCGATTACAGTCTGGAGAGACAAATGCTACTCCCATTCCTTCTCATCCTTGTAGTCGTTACTGCTCGCTTCCCCGGATACTGCAATACATTGTGAAAGCGGGTCTCATCCCCACACTCATTCTATGGTGTGAGTCACAACGCTTTCGATCGCGATGTGACTGTGCTTTAACGTAGTGCGTTGGTTTATATACCTCCGTGACCCTTTGGGCTACGCTGGGTTGCGATTTTTGGGTGTCTTCAGATTCACTCATACCAGACAGCTCACACTCATTCCGTTACACAGTCCTCTTCGTAGGCTAGGGAGAGGCCGATGGTCCTCTTCCCTTCAAACCTAACCATTGAAGACAATAGCTTATAGATTATGAGCTGATAATTCGATTGCCGTAGGACACGACTGCAGTGCACCACCGGGTGCTCAATCGTTTACTACCGCTAGCCTTAACCGCTGGTCAAATGGGTAGTAAAAATAAATAATGTGTCAGCTGTACGCCGTAACGGCGTTTCGCTGCCACGCGACCACCACCATTCGCGCGCGCGGGCTGAGGATACCGCGAGGACGCCTACCCCTACGCACATTCGAACCAGGAATCATATGGTTGCAAACCAAGTGCGCAGACCACTTGGCCACTGGCTGACAAAAATGGGTGCAAGCTCGCCAACTCCCACATGTAACTGGTCGTGGTCGCAGGTGTGTAAGGTAATACGTTCGTAAAACACTTGTGAATTTTCTTAAGTCTTCAGTGGTTGTGACATTCATCAAGACGATACCTACGGACCTCTGTGATCACGCTCACGAGCGCGGCTTGCTTCCCACTGTTTTTGGGCACCATTAATAAAACCGCTCCAGATAACTGACCTGTTTCCGATACAACGCACAATTTTCTCTGCCATAAACAAGCGTCGACAACACCTTCAACCGATACATGCTTTAGATTTGTCTCAGTGATCAGGTAAGGAACCTTCCACACCGGATTTTCAGCTTACCAAATACAACAGCAGCCTTCGATACGCCATTGCACAGTGTGCTCCTTATCTGAAGACGTTATAAGCAATCTAGATTTGCGGCAAATCCGAGCATTTCATTCCTGTTGATGGCTGAAAAAGACAGTCTTGTTTTGATAGTGACCCGAAACTTTACCGCTATCGAAGTGAGAACCGTCGTCATCCGTTGTAACTTATCCGCGCTGCGTGCAACATACGGATAGTTATCTTACACACTGGGTTCTCACCCCGAAACGACGGATGCCCATCAACCCACCGTCAACACGGTGCCGTACTTATAAGCAACATCAAATGCACAAGACATTACTGCATTTGGGTAGCTATTAAACATGGTAGGGGCTAAGACACACCCTTGCTTCACACCAGAGAGAACAACAAAGTCATCTGAAGTTTGTCCACGGAGCCACATTATCTCCCGCATACCACTGTGCATACGTACGTCTACTCTCAAATTTACTCCGGCATCCAAACTCACCCAACACCAGCCACAGTGCCTCGCGGTTCACCTTGACAAATGACTTCGTGACGCCTACAAACAACGAGTACAGTGGCTGGTGCCGCTCACCGAATTTCTCTGCAACTGACGAGTCGCGAACACCATATCTACGGTGCTGTGGCCTGAACGGAATTCGCATTGCTCTTCTGCCACGTTCGGTTCCACGACCTGAGTGCCGAGACGGTTTAGCAGGATTCGGGCAGTCCCTTTCCCCACACAAGTTTATGCCACGAGACTTCGTGCAACGTTGTTTGCTTACTTTGCCTTTGTACAGTGGTAGCACAAGGGCATACTTCAGATCAGAAGGCACCTCCTCCTCAATCCACACGCATTGCACCAAATGCTGCAGCGCATAAATCATTGCCGGTCCGCCGTGTTTCAAAAGTTCAAGCTGGATCCGGTCGGCTCCGGCGCACTTGCCGTTTCGTAGCTGAGCACGTGCTCTTTACGTCTCAAGCACCGTCGGTATGTTGGCAGGTTACATCTTCATCTTGTTGTTGCAGTTCGTGTAACCTAGGCCAGTCACTCTGAACGGTTGCTCAAGAGACAGTCGAAATGCTTTCTCCAGATCTACACTGCTTCTGCAATCTGTGTGCAGTTAGCGCCTGAAGTGGCATCGATCAGCGTTCTCAGCGGCTACAACGTGGGTCCATACACCGTTTTCAAGGAGGCAAGCTAATCCTTATATTGACGACATTCGGTGTAGCATTCCATCTGCTTCGCGTTCTTTGCCCACCATGCATTTTTGATTCGACGGAGTTCTCGAGTTCATCGCCGTCGAAGTTTGCGCATCGGTAGGCATCAACCACATGCGCAGGGAACGATGCATTCTTCTCCGACACCAGTGCACCAGTGCACTGTCATCAAACTAATCTGGCTGCTTACAGTTTGTGCTTCCGCTGTTTTCCTTGGCAGCAGTCGTCACTAATTCACTGATGTGGTGCCACAAGTCACTCACTGAGACGGTGAATTTTACATTGCCAATGCCGATATCCATCGCTTTTTTCCGGTTCCTTCCTATTCTTAGCAGTACCGAGGGAACGGACGTTATATTTCCGCCGGTTCACCTCTTGAGTGCAGTACATAGATGTACGAAAATGTATGCACGATGTAGTCCGCACAAACTTGTGATCGGTGCCACACTCAGCTTTACGCAGTACACGTGTCATGCACACTTCACGTATGTCGCGCCGGCGTCCGATAAAACTTCAGCAAATGAACCTGTCCACTCCGTGGGTGTGTCCATGTAGCCATATAACTCCCACTTAGTGCAAATCGGGTGTTCGTGATCGTCAAGCTGTGAGTGGCACACAGTAAGAGGAGCCGGTCACCGTTCCCAATGGCAGCGCCAATATATGTCATGACGAACTGCCTATCAGTTGTTATTTGTGAGTGTGTTTGATGTGCCTGACACTGTCTGGAATCGTTTCGTGTGTGTCATGTATTCCTTGACACCTTCTGTATTCCCCATTTTGAGACGTTCCACCGGTGGATAGAACTCGGAGGTATCAATCAGTTTAATCGAATTATTGGAACAAGTTCCATCGGATACTGACTTTCAACATAATCGCAATGTCCTTAAACTGCGACTACTAAGGACTCTTTGAAATAAGCTTGGATATCGGTGATTGCAAGAACCTCTGAAATGGAAAGGAACAGTGTTCTTAGGAACACCCGAGTGCTATTCCAGCTCATCAGAATACGGTTCCAAAAAACCCTGACTTAGTGAGACAGTAGCTGATCGTTTGATTCTCAGCCGCGTCTACCGGGTCGTTGGGCGGAACATTTTGAACAGTAGTTCAGCTCACCTTCTGCGACACTGCCGCTTGCTGAATCACCTTAGACGACGTGCGAAATCGGTGTCTCACCATCCATTTTCGAAGAGATCCGACATGAGCTTGCCGTGTGGAAACGAAACATTTCTCGCGAATGCCAACGACTTCCTTCCATCTTTGCTGAAAGATGGTGGAAACTCTTTGTTGACTGGACTCGGTTCCCTATCTAACACGATTTGGACACTGAAGAGTTGTCTTCAGGCTGGCGACTGTCAACTGTCCTGTTTGTTTATATAAAATGTCGTCGGACTTTGTGCGAAATCAGCGGAGGATTAGCCTTGTTTCCATTGTCTCCAGACTTCTCATCGATATCATTCTTCGGCTACTTACCGGTTTTCATAACAGCCGAATCATTGAAAGCCATGCTCACTTTCTTACAGGTCTTGGTTGCACGGACCTTATCTTTGCTCTTCAACATTTGTTAGAGCAGAGACCCCTACAAACGATCGACTGTGGTGGTTTACCTTGGCTGGAAAGCCGCCTTCCACTCATTTAATCGTGTCATCTTGTTTCACTGCTTGTCCGTGAAAGGTTTGCCTGGAAAACTCATTTCCATTCTGAAATCTCTCTGCCTTGACTCCCGAAGTCAGCTTAGTGTCAACGGGAAGCTGTCTCCTGAGTTCGCCACGTCAAGTGAGTTATTCAGGGTTATCCCGCATCTTCCCTCCTCAGCTTTGTGATCGAAATGATCCTAAATGACTGCATTCTTTCTGGCCCTTCCGGAGTGGGAGTTCTGCAAGTGACCGACTGACAAACCTGGAATTTGCGGACGTCATAGCTTTCCTTAGGTCTGGCGCAGTGGCTATGCGCGCATTGCTGCAAAGATCGGTACATAGAGCTGCACGCTTCGTCAGGTGCTTTGCACTTTCAAAATGCAAGGTATTGTTGCAGTACTGCACCGACACACTACCGGCTTTGCCTCTCAGCATACAGTGTCAAGAAGTGGTGGATCGATTAACTCACTATGTCGCCTCTAGTGGCTACATTATTGAGGAAGTTAATTTGCATATCAGCCCGGCCCGTGTGGTTTTCCAGAGGCTCAACCATCTATGAGCACGGCGGGATATCGCTCTGTTAGTGAAAGTTAGTGTGTACAGCCCTACGATAAGCCCGGCGATGCTGCATGCATCAGAAAGCTGGCCTTGTTTGTTCACCGGCGTTTTCGCAGTATTGTTGACATCTGGCGGGAACACCTAGTGGTGAGATGCACCAGTTAGTTTTTGGCACGAAGCCTTCTGGCGCCTCACTCGGGGGTTTGTCGAAGCTTAACTGCTTTGGTTGGCCAGGTCATGTTCTCCGTATGCCCATTGGTCGACTCTCTAGGCGTGCGTTATGCGCCGTTGCCGCACTACTTATGGTGGAATCGCATAGTGGCCAGTCGATGGCATGGCATAAAGGTATGGAAAAACTGACTGACACTTTGTCAGGCTAATACATGCCGTCGTTATGCATGAAAGCCACACCATTGGTTGGGGACTACCGCACTTGGTGGAGTCGCGCGGCACCGACGTTCATGCATTAGGTCACCTTCATCCAGAACTTACTTGATTCCGTCTTTTATTTTGTTTACGTTCAACCTCGTTTTCTTGCTGTTGCTACTTGTTTATCTGACGATGTGAGTCGTGGCTACTGGATCCACTGCACTTCGATGCCCGGCCCATAGCGTTGAGGTAACGAGCTTGTAATCTTGCTGCGCGGGTTCGAGCCTGCGTAGGGACCGGGCGACGCCGGCAGTATCCTTAACCCGCGTTCGACCGGTGGTGGTTGCGCGACGGTGCAGCGTCAGCACTGGTTACTGGCGTACTGCGGATGCCTTTCTCATTTTTTTTGTTACTTTCTGATGCCTAGATCATAGTTTTCTAACTGAACTGAGAGCTAACGTTTACTTGTGCAAATTACTCCCTCAGCATGGTTTTCTTCATCATGTCCACCGAGTGACACCCGGTGATGAACCAAAATTGCTCTTCTTACTGTTGTATGGGCATGATGTAAGTTTTCTCAGTGTGGTTTTTTCCTTCAACAAACCCACCTAGATCGCGAGTACACGTTGCTGCTCGGTCAGCCGACAGTTCCCCCCTAGATCTTTCTAGGTACACATCTCACAACCCACCTACCAATGTTCGCTGGCCTACTCGGGACATCATGCGTCGCTGACGAGCGGCGTCAACTAGACAGACGCTGACGTGGATCGCTTTTTCTACTCTTTCTTGAGGTTGCTTGTCAACCTTCCTATATGGAAAATGAGTTTGTGGAACAGAAGATATTTCCTTTTAGAAACGAAAACAGGGTTTTTGATAATATTCTGTAATTGCACTTGTCTAACGCTGTCAACATTGACAGTGAATGAGCAGCACTCGTGAAATGTTGACCACTGATATCGAAAATTACCTTTTCTTTTCGAACTCGTGTTAGACTTGTATCCAAACAACGTTTCACAATGGCAAAGCTATTGTCATGAAATATAGACACATTCTCTATTCCCTGCTCAGACACCCTTAACGTTAGCGTGTTTGAGTTTATTATAACTGCCATCCATAATCTCTTGATGGATTTCCTGAATTCCTCTTGTACTTTGTTGTTATGGTTTAGCAAATCGAACAGTTCTGACGCGGGCCTTCGTTGTTCATCCTTGGCTAGACTTCTACTTGTTTTCTGCAATGCAGCAATGACCCCCATGTGCTTGGGGTAGCTGGTCTCTATAACTATAAATTAAAAATCCGGCTGTCGACCATCATCCCCTAATCCTTCTACCAAGCCATAGAATGTCCTGAGTGAATAACCGTGGTATTTGCATGGCAACTATTTAGTATACTTAAAAGTCGACGCTGATTGGGGTGTTCAATAGTTCTCCGAGCTGGTTGTCTCAGCTGCAACTGTTTCTTTACCAGAAAAAGTACTTTATTGACCTCATTACCATTGCTTCTATACTATTCCCATGTATACTGAGTACTGTACGGAAGCAGCAAGACGAGATATTTATTTGTTAATACAACTAAAATCCCACAGACACAATGACCGATTACGTTGGCGAGCACTCTCGATATTTCATGTCTGCGAAGTATTTGTCCAGGAATTTCTGAAATTCTGACACCAACCGTGCTTCGACAGTTTACGGCGGAAAGTTATTCTATATATTCAATACTCTCCGTTCGAAGCAGTTTGTCCGCGATACGCTTCAAATTCGGTACTACAGGCTTGTACCAATCTCCTCGTGTGTTGATTGGCTTACTCACATCGGCCTCAACATGGGGCAATCACCAAGGTGTAATATCCGTTTCGTCATGATGTTATCAACCCGCACTCGAAGATAAGACAGTGTAAAGTCTCAGCCTTATGCACCGGTATTTGGAGATCATATCTCGTAAAGTAGGGATGAGTTTGATGGCTACATGCTATACCCGCTCTGTGCTTTTTACCTCACCCCGGAAGATAGGACATTATACGGATGAGCCGTACTCTATCATTAATTGTGTAGTTGAACCAAATGGGCGAGTGCTAATCTCTTCGGGCCAAATGCAGAAATTGCGTTTGAGCTGCTTAAAGCATAGGAAACCCGTTTTGGTACAGCCTATTTGTGTTGTGTACGGACTTTTTGTCGAAACGTGAGAGCGCACTGAGGTCTATTACGAAAAGTCTGGGTTGCAACGGTTGATCGGCCACAGTATAGCTTCGTCCATTTTTACGCTGGCTCATAAATAGCGACTTAACCGAGTTTGGCTTCTGCAGACCACGTGGATAAACTGTCAAGGTCACATTGAGGCAAGTCACAGTCATCGGGCGCTTGGATTTCTCTTCACACCTTCAAGTCATCTGCAAAAGCACAATGTGAACGCTGAACCTAAGGTACACTGTTTACATAGATCAACAACCTTATGGTCTCCAGTATCGAGCACGCCACGGTTGAAGGGTATCCGTCAGTCAGCTGGTTGTCGACGTGTACCCAACAGCGAGAAGCGAGCACCTCACACCCTCAGTCTGCGGAGACGGACCTCTTGATTCACCTTATCAAAATCTTTACTGAAGTTCTTGTAACTGAAGTCGACTGACTTCCCGTGGTTCGTCGTCTGCAGCCATTTATACCTCATCACAAGCAGGTTGGTGATGTATGAGCGACTTTTCACGAAACCATGCTGTGGGGTCGTAAGAGGACTTTCGAACTGAGAAGCTGCAGAAGGCACTTCTTCACGATCTCCTCAAGTGTCAAGTACCGTTCGATACTCGTTAACCACTATTTAGGTATGTTTTGTTCCCAGATGTAGTTTCAGCTTAGGCACTTGATGTCGAAATAATGAGGACAGGAACCGCTTATCATGCGACTTAAAGGGCTAATGACCCTTCCCTCTTCATCGTCCACCTCGGGTATCATTCAGTCCGGTTTATCAGCTAAACGTTGTTCATCGAGGTGCTGTACGCACCGCTCTGGTCTACGTGACTATGGGGTTTGACGATCTTCAGGGGAATTGGAGACCATAGTGTACATGGTGTAGTCACATGTTAGTCTTACTGTGTAACTTCTCTCTCGCTTTTTTCATTGAACCTCAATTTATTTTCCCTTTTTCTTCCTCCACCTTTGGTTATTTATATCATCACAACGACGTTAACAATGGTAACCGGAACACTGTTTGCACTAATGATTCTTCCTTTTCGATCCTCTTGCATTTCACTGTTTCCAGGTATTTTTATCAACCTGTGTCCGGAGTGACGACGCTGAAAGCAGCGGAGGCTGTGTTGAACTCGCCACACGCTGCTAGGGTGATGGCTTTCAATGGCTGGGTCATGAACGATAATCCTTTGCGTAACTTTGCTGAACCCGACTCATATGTGTATCTGCGTCGGGAGCTTATTGTTTGGGGTGATTCGGTCAAATTAAGGTAAGTATTCCGCGTTTTACACAAGCGATTGCAGCTCTTTCAGCGCTATTTTCTAAGTGAGCGGTTGACATCATGTTTATACTGTTTTGAGTATCGCCAGAGAACTCACCGACGTCTCACAATTGACTGGACACCTGTTTTCCTTTTCTTTCATACACTTTCTTCAAACTATTAAGTTGCAGTCTATAGTTCGACAAAGACGTCGAATTGGTCACGACATCATTTAGGGTCTTCTATTTTTGAGCATATGTGATCGCATGTGTTACATACGGACTCACTGGCTGTGTTCATATCATAGATTTCACGTGTCACGTAGATCATGCACCCTATCCTAAACCAGCAACATCACTCCTTCCTTTTGGCGCTGGTTACCTGCGACACTCTTGCAATTTGAAAATTCGTTTCGTTTTGTATTTTTGACACGCTTTTGGTTTTGCTATTTGGTTGTATATTTTGCTGTGTCACATGCCCCCTGCTGAATGGTGTCATTTCCCATGCTGCAGGTAGCATGTAAGCCTTTTCATCGACTATCGACCAAATACTGACTGGGTAAACGATATTCCACCACTCTTGAATCGACCCACCTGGATAGCATTCTACTTCTCGCACAGTTTTACTACTGCAGATACTTGCATGAGCCGGTGTCCGTCTGTCTCATACAGGACTACCTGTCCAACATGTTCATCTACTTGCTTTGAACACAGTGTTTTCTTTGTATACAGATCAGTGGCTCTTACATTTGCATCCGATGGTTACTCATAGATCTTACTTGCTTACTTACTTGATGACCTACCAGCACCACAGTATCCGCGCTTTTGCTGTGACGAAGGAGCTCCTGCAGTTGAGGATAGAAGTTAGCTTTCTCCCAGTCTGCAGCGATAATAAACAGGCACCGTTTGTATCCGCACTACTTCCCACCTTTCAACAAGTCTGCCAGTCGGATGGCGCACATCCGACTACTGACTGCGATCCAGTCTACCACAGCATATTCAGCGCGGCATTTAAAGCTGTATCATCTCCGTATAGACATAGTGAGAAAGTACCGCCACTGTCACTTGTAAGTCATTGTAGAGTGAGCAAAATGCTCGAGATTTATAGTTGGGTTTCTGGTACTCAACCTGTATCGATGGATAAGTTATTTAGCGTTTGGGGAACGGCTGTACGTTGACCGATTAAAAAACAGAACGCATATTGGTCTGCGGGCGGATCACTAGCCTCAAATAAAAACGTAAGAACTGTGGTTTGCGCTTGGTTGGACATGACTTGTCGACAGGGGATAAGTGACGTTCTGCGAGTGTGTATGAGTTGAAACTAGTGGATAAACACTTATCAATACAAGCTGGGGAAGGGCGAAGAATCGGGTAGTGGTTTGGTTGAAAGCAGGACCAGACGGATGAAAAAGCATAAGTGAGAGAATAGGAAGATGGGGGAGGCGTGAGCAGTAACATACTCACTCCTGTCTCCTCGTTCGGTACCGCAGATTGGGCGCCGTTAATGGTTATTCTCTCTGACGGCTAAACTATCAATAAATTATACCAAGGTTTTCATTATGTTGCGGCACGATAGCTGTGATGGTTCTCACCACAAACTAATGTGTAGACTGAATGAATGTCTTCCGAGAGTATGTTAAAAGTACAGGCCAGACATATTTGTCTTACGAACGCTGCAGGACCGAATAGAGATCCGGGTCGAAGAAAAGCTGGGGCTTCAGTGGAGTGTGGGAAGACTGTGATCCCTGGACATGGAACACCAGGAATTAGGCTGTTACTTCCATCATTTGCGACCAATGAGCCGTTTGCGCCGATGACCGGTGAGGACAGAAGGGTACGTGTATTTGAAGAGTGGGACGTAGGCTGATCTGCAGGTGTATTGGTACTGCTAACTGCAAGACTCGATTCCATCACGGAATAAAGTACGAGGTATCCAGCACCATACACATCTTCCCTAACGGTGTTTCTGACCGTTCGCTGCACATTATACGTCCATTTTGCCCAATAAGTGCGCGCCTACCCCTCCGTCGAACCACAACGCCGTGGTTACCTGCAATCCCAGGAGGCGAATACCGTGAGTCCTGTTTTTCGCCTAAGCTGGCAACTAGTGGTTTCTGGCATGGCTATAAAGCTTACGGTTCGTAACCGCTAGTTGGAATCCTGGTTTTCCCGATGTGATGTCCACCTAGCCACACGAAATTCGCCATGGCTATTTTTTGTTGTTGAACGGACAATATGCTGCGTTTCATAAAACTGCTTACCAGTTCCATTGTCACTCTCGCTTCATCTCGGAATGACCGTCGAGTTATACTGTCTGTCTGCACGCCAACCTTCTCTTATTTTAGTGTTTACATCGTCTAGCTTGCCATCAATTGATATCCCACGCATGTAATCAGACTTTCCACTATACTTTGTCGCTTGATGGATTAGATTCACCAAGGTGAGCGTTTCACGACCACAACCGGTCGTCCTTTTATCGATGTGTGAAAGCTAGCAATTGCCCTAATCCCCTCCTCCTCTTTACCAATCCCTTGTGTTTGTTGTGGCACCTTGAATTTAACTACATCCATCAGTTAGGGCAGCTGTGGCACCATTCTCTTTTTTTGCCTGTTTAGGTATGGTGAGAAGCGTGATGACTGCCCTTACCTGTGGGACAGAATGGCCAAGTATTCGGAGATCACTGCGAGCATGTTTCACGCTGTGCGCCTTGACAACTGTCACAGTACACCGCTCCATGTTGCGCAGTACATGTTGGACAAGGCTCGTGCTGTACGACCAAACTTGTACGTGGTCGCCGAATTGTTCACTAACAGCGAATATCAAGACAATATATTCATCAACAAACTTGGACTGAACTCTCTGATTCGAGGTGAATTCGTGTGTCTTTCCCTCTACTTCCGTATTCGTTTCACGTTTATCCGCCTACTCCTGTTTACTCCCAGTTAAGTTGTGTTTATAAGTTCAAAATCTGATTTTCTGCTTGTCTGGAATTTATTTTATAACTCACCTGCCTCGTTTGCGAGCACATAGACCCGTACCACCGCCTGTTGTTTTTTCCTCTGTCAGCTATTGATTTAGGACGACGCCAACTCAAAGTAAGCGATGATTAACCAAACCGTTTACATCTTTGCTAAATTATCTACAGAACCGCCACTGAGCCATTTTACTTCTCGCATCGGTGTGGAAAGGGGACGTTCATCGGTTACCTCGCCTAACCTCATCATCCCATTCGTCTTCACAAAGTCACAAGTCACGTGACGAATTTTTCTGTCTCAAATATCCTCGTTCTTCTCAGTTGTAGGCACTTTCACGTGCACCAAAACCCGATGCCCAGCCGAGGCAATCTCAAATCTAGGATATACGAATGACGTAGTTCTGTTTTCGTTGGACACAGATGCTATTGAACCGCTACTGCAGCCCACTCTGATCACAGTAGATGGCGTGGCGTTCTTTTGCATCGTCGTTCTAGCCATCGTATGTTAACGACCGTCTCTGTCTGTCCGATTTGCCTGTTTTTTGGCTGGGTTACTTGCGAGATAATAATGGTTATATAGTTAGTTGTGGCTATTGCTGGCTTGCCGAACAACCTCCTCGTGGTGTCAGCTGGGTGGTTCGAGATTTTCCCGTTCCAGCAAATGGTTCGGCGGCATTGTTCCAGGACGTGGTGGGTTTTCGCCTGGCAAGCGTTCTCCCTATAAAAAGCCACATATGTCCGTTTAACAACACTGTGACGTGGCGGACATGACTCGCCACTAAATAAAGTCACTGTCCGTTGCTTCATCCTGGCGAAGCATTGTATCCCAGCAAGTTTATGCTGTAATTTTGGGGAGCATTGGGCCCCTGTTTGACAAAGAAACAAACAAAAAACGTATGAACTGAGCACTCAGTCACCGGCTCCCAATGGGCGCGATTCCCTGAATTCGATCCGCTGCCTTGCGGGCAGACTATTCAGCCAAAGGCTCGGGGTGGTGTCCTCTATGTCAACACCCTACTTCGGCTTGGGCAACCGGGTATTATCTCGCCCTCTGACGAAACCATGGACTTCGATGCTTTGTTTTGTGTTTTCTTTTACTATTTCTGTACCTTGTTTTGAGTCCCATGGTTTCTGATGGCTTTATGTCTATTCGTAGACCGTTGAAAATATACTGTATAACTTTCATTGAGGCCATTCACGTCTTCATACCGACCAACTGTGGCGTATAGTCGCTTTCAGATTGTTTCGAGTACCGAGTTTCGTACATGGATTTATTATTTTTGTTCGCTTCTTGATTCTCTCTGATAATCGCTTGTTACTTATTATTTCGGTTGCTGGAATGCGCCGAACCAGCGATATATTCATGTCTATGTTGTGTGACGATACTGATATCGATTGTGATACTTTTGATTCTCCTTATCACGAACAACACCCTTTATCAGTCTGTCATCGGGTAACTGTTCTGATTATTTGAACTTTCCTTACTCATGTACTGCTGTCTTAGAGTTTGACGATATCTGCTGGCATTGTGTTGTCGCCCTGATTTTGCATGATCTAATCACTTTGCTCCACATTTGGTCGGCTAATCCCTAACTTGACCACTGCTTTCGTCTGCTATAAGCACAATTTTCGATTTTGCACATCATCCGCATAACCGAGAATGCATTTCACTGTTGCGGGGGTTACTTTTTTGTCGGTGTGATACCTTTCTCGCTGGTTTGTTTTTTAGTGAAGCTGTTCACCTTTTTGCCATATTCTCTTTACTTTCACTTAGTTGGTGCGGCGATTTGATCGGTCCATCAAACTAACCTACGGACTTTCTTCTCTCAACGTTTTAGCTACACGGCTTGTCCTTCCGTGATTTCCGGTTTTCGTTGTAGGTCATCTGGCTTTCATGATAATTCCGACGTGCAGAAGAGCAATGTTCCCGCAAATGTATCTTTTCCTAGTTTGCGTCTGGCTCAACTTCTCGCTGCTCATCGAAACACTGAGTCCCCATCTATCCATTGACACAGTAAGAGGATATAGGTTGCGAAATGTTCACATTACGATTGCTCTCATCAGTCACAATTCCATACAGTCATCTATGGTGGAAATCCCGTGACATAGATAAGAAAAAACGCAATTGGCATCCATAACGCAATCGCGCTGGACAATTCACCCTTATCAGTAGGGTCTCACTGTTTGCCAACAGTTTCGAATTCTTGTTGCGTAATAATACCTTGAAGGAGTTGATCGAGTCCACCGGACGATAAGTCATCATGTCATAGTGATAGACAAGGCGGAATTCTTAATCATCTGTCTTTCCATTCATTGTGCCATGGTGCTCTTCATCTATGCAACGTAGTCTGTCCTACCCTGATTGTTTTTATTCGCGTATACTCTGTTACACTTTTAATGGTTGTGCAATATTGCTCACCCATGTTGCTGGTCACTTTTTCTCGCGGTTAGTTACGTGCACTCTTGTTCTTCCCATTACTCGCTCTTTCCACCTTCCTTGTATAGAAACGTTGCAAGTGTGCGATGCCAATGCGCTCGGCGCCCAGTTGTATCGTTACGGTGTCCCCCGCCCAACTGGTGCCTTTTTCACTCACATCTTCGATCAGCGGCTGTATCCATCCGTCGCTCATGCGCTTCTTTACGACCAAACCCACGACAATCCGAGTGTGGCAGAGAAGCACTGTGTTTTCGACTATTTGCCTCTTGCAGCTCTGACTTCGATCGCATGCTGTGCCATTGGGAGCACTCGGGGTGTCGACGAGTTGGTGCCACATTACATCGATGTGGTGAAAGAGGACCGACCGTATGCCAAGTGGCCAGCTCAAGTCAACCAAAATGTGGGATTTGTTGAGGTCAAGTCGATTTTGAACGAATTACACAAATGGCTGGCTTATCAGGGGTTTTCGGAGACGTTTGTTGATCAGGTGAGGAATCACACTTCACAAGCCACTTTTCTCCTTTGTTCTTCACATCCTTTTGTCTTCTCTGTTAGATCCCTCGTCTGGCCCTTCTTCCGTATTGTAACAACATGCTGGGGCCTTGCCCTGCTACGTCCCTACCCGCTACAAACATGACTGCCCACAAATTGTCATCATGTCACACCCTCTCACTGTATGCGGCGAGTAACCTCAAGGCAGCGTGCGGTCACAGTTGTGGTTCTTTTTGTCAAATCCCATGCCGCATGCCTCCTTGTTACTCATTACGAGTCTCACTAGTGGCCGTCATCCGCTACCATTCTTCTTCTTTGAGCGAACTGTACTAACCGTTTTTTCATATCTGTCAATGGAGTTAATCGGCTAAAAACTAACTACTCTGCTTTGTTTTCTCTGAAAGGTCTAAAATGAGCTTGTTGTCCTTCTCTTCTGCAATTCATTCGGATAACTGTAATTCACTTTAGGGTAGCTAGTGTATCACTGCACCTGGTCCTACATATCCGTCCTCTCATCCACAATTTCTTCCCTTAGCATTCACCTCATGTGATTGCAGTGACCCGTGTCTGTCCCGCGACGAGAGAATCCGTCATTTTGGTCGCACACACGGCATTCAGCTACGACGTTGTCAATCACGATCGCGTTGATTTCGATGCTCTTGAATTGTCTGGCCGGGTGAATCGATTACTCCTCGAAACGAGAACCGTTTGCGCCGATAATGTTATGTCACAATTCAAACGCAATCCTTCGGTTAGTCTCCCAATCTTTTCTGTGCTCTTTTCATGCATGACGATCTTGATCATTTTCAGTTTCCTTGATCCGATGAAGAGCGCTTTCGATTCTGTTATATGCAGTTTATCTAATTTAGGCGCTCTGTTACTTACTTGCACCGTTTGCTGCCTGTTTTGCCATTATGTGAGTAAAACCCGTCGCCTGGCAAATAATCTCTTTTTAATGAGAAATAGACGATATGTTTTGGGGTAGGCGTGATGCAAAAATGGTTGCGCTGTTCTTCGGTCGATATTTTTGCTTATCCGCTTTCCACACTTCTCAGCTAGTCCACAAGCAACTTAACTTCCGTACGGTTCATAATTTTGCACAACTTTTTCTGCCCTTTGTGACCCGGAATACAGCCATACTTTTGGCATGCATCCACTAAGCCCCCCGGTTCCAGCGCATGTCTTAACGGGGTCCGATGGTTTGTGTACCTCTTTGAACCATTGAGCTATACTGGGTGGTGCCTCTGGGCCACTTGAAAGCTATTCCTACTAGGTTGCTCAGTGGTGAGAGGTCAGACAAACTCAGTCTGCTGGTCCTCCAGGTTTGCAGTTAAAAATGGGATGGCGTCCATCTCCCCTCTGCCTTGCGGACAGGCTTTTGATCCAAAGGTTTTGGTTGAGGACCTCTTGTCTAGGTTTGGGCGCTGTGGCAGTATCTCAGCTCACGTACCACCATAACAATTTCTCCTAAATTTAACTACATCTTGCATCGGCCGTTGCGCAGCTTATCAAGGGTCGCGTTATCTGCTGCATACATCATCATCATTCTACATGTTAGCTAGAGGTGGGAAACACCTCAGCTATTGTGCCGCAATACATAACAAAAAACATGCGACAGATGCATGCCAGATGAGCTGTCGGTAACGGATGCTCATCGTTCCGGTAAGCTACCACCCGACAAATATGCAGCAAAATTATCTGAGGCTAAGTAGTGAGATCGTGATTGGAGGCGGGACGAAGAAACTCACATCGCAAACGACATTGAGGTCAGCTCCTAGCCATGTCAGCAAGTGTCTTCAGCCAAACGTATTCATCATCTTTTGGAACCCGACCAGGGAGCCGTGACGCTCCAACCGAGACCAGCTCCGAAGTGAGGACCTTCATTCCTCTCGACAACAACAAACAACAACAAAGCAAACAACACACGTCGCGGGAGTCGGTGGGCTGACTTGCGTACCACCTCGCCGAGCCATCGGAGCCTGGTACATGAAATAACGGTACTGAGTAGTTCACTTCTTCTTACTCCATAAACAAGGCGTCGAACATTCTCGTTGCTAACTCGGTGTTCCCGCCAGATGTGAGCCAAATTGCGAAGACACCGGTGGTCGAACGTAACTAGCCTTTTTATGTCCATTGATCTAAGGGGCCAGATTTCACAACCGTACAGTAGGGTCGTAGGTACCGCTGCATTGTGCACTCTACCCTTCAGGGCGAGAGTGATGTCGCGCTGGCGCCATAACTGGCGAAGGTTAGCAAAAACGCCTCGAGCTTTTGCTATACGGTTCGTTATTTCATCTTCAATCCCACGGGCCCTGATACAACTTCTCAGGCAATTGCATTTTTGAACTCCTTCTAGCTGATTCCCACCAAGGGTCAGGGAAGGAGACGGTCCAGACCAATCTTGGAAGACCGCTTTGCACTTCGATGGTGCAAAGCAAAGCCGGAAGCCGCTGACAGCTAGTGCTAATCTGTCCAGTGCAGTTTGACACCTCTGTGAGCTGTCATAGATGAGGGCAATATCGTCAGCCTACGCCAAGTCAAGAAGTCTTTCTCCGGAGTGCAGATCCACACCTTCTAAGTCGTTTCCTGTGAACGCGATTTCCATGACCCAGTCAGTAGCGGTTGAAGAGGAAGAGTGGCAGCGGGCTACCTTGTCTCACACCGCTGGAGATATTGAAGGGCGACGACAGCTTGCCGTAAGTCCTCACTCTGCCCTAGCTACGCGCGTATAATGCTCGAATAATATTTACATGTTTCTCGGGCACACCTTTCCTGACCAGACAGTTGCAAAGGACATGTCTATCCACGGACTCGAATGCACCTTTGATATCGAGGAACACGACAACGGTGGGCCGCCAATATATGTGACGGTGCTCCAACATCTGAAACATGTGAAGATGTGGTCAATGTAGCCACAACATGGACGAAACCAGGCTTACTCTTCACTGATATGGATTTCACGAGTGCCAGTCAGTCTGTGAAGGATGACAGAGGCAAGCAATTTGGAGGAGATGTTGATTAGACTGATTAGTATATGGTTGCCGCATTTGGATCGTGAGCATCCCTTGAAAATTGCGGCTATGACGGAACGGCTCCAGTCGGTTGGGACAGTTTCCTGCTTCCACAGTTTCACTAGTAACTCTTATAAATCATCAACAAGAGCAGGTCCCCCGAATTTGAAGAGGGCTGGATGCAAATCATCTGGTCCTGCGGCTTTGTTCAATTTCAACAGTCCTATCTCACATTTGACTTCTGAGCAAGAGGGTGGATCCAAAGGGACAACCCAGGGAGCAGGGCGGTCAGTAGTCGGCGAGAAATCTGACAACCCAGACCGATTAAATTGCCTTTCATAGTGCTCAGCTTAACGCTCCAACCGTTTTGACAAGTTGTGCATGGGCTGTCCACTCTCGCCATAAATTGTTTCACTAACACCAGGTCTCCTGCTGCCCGTTTCCCGTATCATACAGAATACCTTTCGATAGTTACCAAGGGCAGCGGCCATTTCCATTTCTGATGCACGATAAGACCATCAGGATTCACCGTCTCTCTTCACGCTAGCACAGAGTTTTGCTCGGACCTTTCTGCGAGTTTCATTGTATTCGCTTCCAGCTGGAATATGCTGGCGAGCATTGATAAGTTCCAGAGACTACGAAGAGACCCAATGTCCATGTTGGTGATTAGACATACCACATGAGGATTTTCCTGCTGCTAGTAAGGTCTGGTGAATATGAGACCAGTGAACTTCAATTGTATCCTGTGAGCACTTAGTGAATTCGCATGTCAGCGTACTTGGATGGGCATTCCGAGCAGCTGGATTCCTCAGTTGGTTGCTGTCAGTGCGCTCACAGCATGGTCGTGGGAGTCCCCAAAACGCATCCGCATGTCAGCACATACAAGTGCATGTGCTACAAATCGAGTGACAATTCTGGATGTAGACTTTCCAGAAGTAACTGATTGCAATGTGATCGATTTGCGTCCATTGCTAGTTCGAGGCTGGTGGGCGCCAAGTCACCCTCCGGCGGGTGCTAGGTCGGAAGTTAGCGCTCGCAAGAAATAAGCGAGCATCTTCACAAAAATGAAGTAACCGCACACCGTTTTCTTTATGGGAGCGTACACCATGTTGGCCGCTCAGATGCAGTTCATCAGTGGACAACTATCCGGCTTATGCGTTCAGATTCCCAGTCAGCACAGTAGAGTCCGTGCTTCTTCTGTGTCGAAGGAGCTCGTTCATTTGGCGGTAGAAGTCGTCTTTTACCGAATCATCGCTAGGGTTTTTGGGTGTGTAGGCAACGGTGACGAATAGTCCTGTGCCATTTCGAAGCTTTGAACGAGCCACCTATTCAGACCTCACACTTCCAGCTACTGATTGGGATCCAATCAACCAGAGCAGCCTCAGCCCGGAGACTCAGGGCAATGCAAACACTGGCTTGGCCGGTGCTCGAAGGTGCATCGTCATCGAATAAGCGCAATGAGAAAATACTGCTGGTGCCACCTGAAGGGGATCGCAAAGTGAACACTGAGCTCAAGTCTTGCAGCCAGGTCTCCGATAAGCAGCAGTTATCGATGGAGAGGGTCTCTAATATTCACGTAAGTGCTGCCTGTTGACCAATCTGTAGTAATGTGCGTACATTGAGGCATTCCAATCTGATGGATGATCGAGAGTTCCAAATGGAGCCGATGAACTGGGGTGGACCGCTTGGTTGGACATGGACTTACCGACAGGAGAGGAATGACACTGCACGTTCACAAGTGCATTGAAAATGGAAGTTAAAAGTCTATGAAAAAATGTTGGGCGAGGGCCAAATATCGGGGGGTTGAAAACAAGTGAAGTTGGAACGGGACGGTAAGGGTGAACATGCCTAAGATGATGAATAAGAAGACGGGAAAGCCTAAGCTATAGCATCCAAACCCCTGTCCACCCTGCTCGATACAACAGACGGGACACCGTTGCTTATACTCTGCAGTGGCCAGCGCATCAAGAAATTGTTCGACGAAAGATCTGTATTATCTACTGCATACCAGGGCGGATAAGCGGCAATCTGCTACTACTGGCGCCTCCCCCTTTCTTTTTCACCTGTTTCTCCTCCCATCCCAACCCCCATTACTAACTTCTTTATTTCCATTTAATTGACAGCAACCGAAGTGCCATTGGAATAGAACCATCTGCAGCCACCTTTCTGCAACAACCATCGATGTCTATCGGCAACAGTTACTTATACGGCCACGCTGTCCCGTTTCCATGGCGTCGTTCAACGTTCTCACTCTATGACAAGCAGGTCAACAGGCTGCGCTCGCGCGCACGTTGGACACACGGGGTATTGACGTATGTTGTGTGTATGAAACTAGGATCAATGACCCTATTGGGGTTGTTGAATTAACTGCGCCCGGCTTGTCCCATTGCCATTGGTTGCACGCACCCGGAGACGCTGATGCAGCACTCACGGTCCAAGTGGGGCAGATGTCTTTCTCAGGTCCTAGGCGTAGCCAGCGTTGATTGATTGCATCCGGTGCGTAACCGTTTGACGACATGATTTAAGATCGATACCGGAAGTAGTACAAAACGCTGTTTATTTGAGATTTCCGCTTCTGATGCAGTCAAGGACACTTTCTATCACGAACTAAACGCGCTACTACGCAATGCTTCTAGTTCAGATATTATAATACTTACAGTGGATATTTACGCACAAGTAGGACTTCTGAGTTCTTTAGAAGCTCAGCTAGATAGTAAGTATGGGTTTAAATCCTTACTGA